CGATCTCCCCAAAACCCCAAAACCCCAGGGTGAGTGAATAAGGAAATATTATGATCATCGATTTCTTAGAATTAAAATTGAAATGAAATTAACAAAGATAAATTTTTATAATATAAGTCATGTCTTAAACAGCTAAGAATGATGTTTCTTCCAGAAAAAATTCATTGAGCACATTTGGTAAGGTAAAGACTTCGATCTAGCCTTTGCATATTCAAAATACCCAGGACTTACTTCTCTGTGATTACTGCTAGCAGGAATTCGATTCTGACACTAGAGTTCCTATGGTACTTTAGATATGCGGTCACTCACTATGCAAATAATGCATTTTGAAAATTCTAAAATAACAGAACAAAGAGTGCCCAATGTGCAAAGCTTAAATAAAATAAAAAAGCCTAGCTGATTTTATCACAAATCGCACTCTGCTGAAAATAATATGTAAAATTAATCGACTAATGTAAATCTAGAGAAGAAATAGGAATCTAAATGATCATTTCAGTTTTCAAACAAAGAAGATGACAATAGAACTTAAATGATTTCTGAAAGAGACATTTAAGAATTCCCCTTGCTAAATAATAAATAAACACCAAATGCGTCACCTGGGCTATCATAAAAATAATAATAAACTGAAGATTAAAAATGCCTCAAGCATCCAGCTAAAGAAATAGAGTTCTTTTGTAATCAATGTCAACAAATAGTTTGCTCACTATGTATATTTCATGATCACAATGGGCATGAGTTAACATAGCTAGAGGAAGCGAGTAAGTACCTTTTTATCTTAAGATTATAATATAGTTGTTTATTTGAAATCTGATCTGGTCTAGGTTGACAACAATCTCTCTCATATACATCAAGTGAACGAGGATAACATTTTATTCTTGAGAAGCAAACTGAATGAGATTGAGAAACTCAAAGAGATTTAGCTTAAAAATATTGATAGAGGTTTCGAAGAACTTATTAGAAGATTAGAGGAAAAAAAATCTAATCTTAAAAATGATTTTGTCTAGAAATATGATAGAGAAAGACTCAGACTCGAGGATACAATGAAGCCATATCTGATTGTATAGAATAGATTAGATGCTGTTAAGCACACTTACTCTGAATTAAGTGACATGCTGATGAACAAATCTAGTGCATTTGTACTCGGGAAGATACAAGATGTGATGACGAAAATGAAATAAGCTAGTGATACATTACAGGACCTTTATATTCAAACAGATTTAGATAAAAAAGCAATCTAAATTTCTGAAAATCTTAGACCACTGACAATAAATATAGAGAAAGCCTTTAAATTGATTTCATAATTTAAAATTGAGCATCAACCCCCTAACTCAATGCAGCCTTCACATTCTAATTAGAGATTCAGTGCAGACTATTCAGGCTCAGGTGCTAAAAATACAATTAAACTTATGCCTTTGGAAGGAACATTAAATCTTGCTTCAAGAAACTAAAATAATAATTCAAAGCTAGAGAAAGCCAACCTTGGGATGCAGGATGTTTAAATGGAGTGGTAGCATTCTCATCCATATAAACCCACAATGATGCTCCAAGAAGGTGCAGGGCAGAGTAAAATAGGATCCCCAATATAAGATAAAAGGCCTTCATAGCTAAATGACAGCAAAGGATTTTTTCCTCTCTCAAATTAAATATTAAGTGATGCTATTTAAAAGAATCAGGAATATTAAAATGAGCTTAATACCATTGAGAGAAACTAATTTATCTATTGTTATGGAGACATTCCATTTTTCTTAAAGTATGATATCAGGAAAAATTTTTGGGCCGCTATAAAATATGATCCTTAATCAAACTATTAAGGGACTCTTCGTTATTCTAGTATTTGCAGAGTACTTCATTTGAATCACATATTGCAAATAGAATAAGAAGTACTAATAATGACTGGAGGAGTATTAGCTTAATCAGGAGACCCTGTCAGTTCTGCTTTTAAAATATCAGCGCAAACTGCTCCTTCTTTTCTTACTAAAATTTCAGATATGAAGTCTCGTAGATTCGGCCATTGTTCACTTGATATAAGAGGAACTTTATATGTCATAGGAGGATTTTGTCATTCAGAAGGTCTTAACTAGCCACCAGTAAGTTTGAACAGTGTGGAGAAGTATTAAGTAGAAACTGACAACTGGACTAATGCAAGGGAAATGAAATATGCAAGAGCATATCATGGGGCTTGTCCAGTCAAAAATAACAACTATATTTATGTATTTGGAGGACTATTTGATCATTAGATTATTAGTTCAATAGAATAATATGATATAATGCAGGATTCTTGGGCTGAAATGAATATCATCATGCCGACGAGAATAATAAAATTTGGTTGTGTAGCAATAAATTCCTCAGAAGTAATTATTTGTGGTGGAATATTTGGTGATTAGAAAAATGAGTAGTTTTCATATGTGAACACTGCTTACAAATTTGATCTCTATGCAAACAAATGGACTATCTTACCTAGAATGTTTTCAAGAAGAGTTTTGGATTCAAGCATACCATTTACTCCTCAAGAAGCAGATAAATCAGGTGAAATTATAGAGGCTAAAGTATTTGCAATCGGTGGGGCTTTTGATGGGAGCTGTGAAGCTTTCAATCTTAATAGTGGCAAATGGTAGCAATTAAATGGCTATGAAAAACTACTGAAAGACAATGATCTTTAGACATTCGCTATCTCCTTAGTATGAAATAATTAGATAAACCTTAAACCCCTTAGAGTAACGATACAAGCAGAGCCTAGTGTAAATATAATTTTGATTTCTTAAATGATGATTTTAATTAATCTAATAATAAATAATATATAAAATGGATAAAAATTTACATTTCCCAGTGAAGAACTACTATCATCCAGGATCAAGTGTCACAGTCGACTAAAATGTGTCTATGATAGATAGAGGAGTAGACCCTAAGCCTATGGTGCTAGAGTTCTGCAAGCCACTATGCATTTACTGGAAAGAAAAGCTAGAAAGATGTGAAACTAAATTAGCTACCATCATTAAAATTAATCCCACTAAAACATGCCTTTATCCAATGAGAGATTATGTTACCTGCGTCGAAGCATGCGTAAGTTATATTCAAATATTTTCATGAATTTATCTTTAATAGGCTCAACCAAAGATTCACAATAACTTAGTCGGAACTGAAAGAAAGTATTAGCAGCTACTGTGAATAATTAAAGTAAAAATGACTCAAAGCATTATTGGTCATTCGCAAAGCAGAATCTATAGTATTAGTACAATTCTTTAATTAGTGCTAGCACTGTGGCTTCTCTGCCTTATTTAAACCCCTACTTCTTAATAAGTTAAATAAACTAGATACTCACTATCTTATATCTTTATGTTAACTCTTCATCAATGCATAATTTTGCTCTATTAAGTCACGATATAATACTTCATCAATTATAGATTTAATAACTTAACTAAATTTGTAATTCTAATCGTTTTCTGGATTGGCAAATATATGACTGGTGGGGTTTTGGGGTTTTGGGGTTTTGGGG